TTTTTTGATTTTTGATCTGTAGTGATGACAGATGCAAAATACCTGTTCAAGTCATATGTCATTTCCTTATTTTCCATTCTTAATTTTCCAGTCTCACTTTGTGCAGTTACTTTGTTAAGTCTCTTGTTAACATATTCATTAGAAACTCTCATTGTTCTTGTGTTTCTGGTTGGCATTATTTTGTACAATAACTTGTCCCTCCTTATTTTTGGTCACTTTTTTTTGCTGTTTTCCATATTCTGCCACCTGTTTTTTTTTAACTTTTTGTTTGATACTATCTTTTCCATTTCTAATTAATTGTGGATACTGGGTCTGTCCTTTGGATTTCTTACTCGTTGAAAAAGATCAATGCTGTGTATTCTCAAATAACCTTTTTAAGTGACTGCCACTACCTCTCAATTGACTTCTTGTTTAACCTAATTTACCTATTCACTTTGGCCAGCTCTGCTTTCATGTCGTCATAGTGCCCCTTATTTAAATATGATAAAAATAATCTTGGACCCACACCTCTCTTCCTCAAACTGAATTTAAAATGCATTCCTATTTTGGAACCTTGGGGTTCCTTCACTATGATTTCAGTAATTAATCATGTTCCTTTGCACAGTATCAGGCCTGTTATACGCTGCTCTCTGGTCAGCTCCAAGATATCTTGTTCTAAGAAACTAACCTGAAAATGTTCTGTGAATCCTTCATTAAGGCTACCTTTGCCAATTTGGCATTTCCAGTCAATATGTAGATTAAAATCTCCTATGGTTATTGCTGTGTATGCTTTCAAGCTGTTTGTTTCTTTCTTTAAGGTATACTTTACCATGTGGTTATTGGTAGGAGGCCTGTACACCACACTCTCAATGACTTCTTGCCTTTATCATTTCTCATTCGATATTAAACTTCTTCCACATTTTGGGTTCCTGAACTTGGGTCATATCTCTTTAAAGTGCTAATCATTTCGGTAACTATCAAAACTATCCATCCACCTTCTGTTACTTTCCTGTCATTCCTAGATGTCCTTCAATATTCCAAGTCCCAATCCATTATTCGAACTTTATCTCTGTAATAGCTACCAGATTGTGCTTACTCATTTCTATTTGTGCTCTCGGTTCATGCGTTTTGAATGTTATATGCATTCAGATACAGAACCTTTTAGTTTTATACTTTTTGAAAACTCTAGTTTTATCTGATGGTTGGTTCTTAGATTTGTAATTTCTATATTATGATCAAAGCTCATGTTGTTATGGGACAGATTCCAGACTGAAATCTTGTTTAATAGCTCATGTTTTATTGTGGTTTTAACAAAGTCGTGACAGAAGCACCCAATGTTGCAGAGCTAGTTTGAATAATAAGGCATTTTTTCAGTAAAACAAATGAAGATAAAATGGAATAAACCAATCTATGTACTAATAAGACAAATTCAAAACATTTTAAACATATAATAAAGGTATAATTCCATTAATTCCAAATCACCTCTTTACAAGTTCAAAAAGTAACGACACCTTTTGCACAGTACTCACACCAGAATCTTTTTCTGTATCACCTCGGTATATTTAAGTAAGTATGACTTTACTTTCTGGACTTGTACCTCAGTTATTCCTAGAGCTATCGTATACCTAAGTATAAACCAACTGTTTCAAAACCTTTTCAGATTTTATGTCAACACTTCTGGTTTGAGACTGTGTTGAACTCATCCCTCAAATGTAATGCAGTTTCCCTCTTTTTCCACATTTCTTAAGAGTGCCACTCTTTACATGCATCTCCAAGTAAGGACTTTTATAGAATTGCCTAAAACCGAGAAACTGAAACAATCTAGGAGTGTTTCCCCCAAGTTCTTTTTAAAAAAAAAAAAAAAAAGCTGGTCATTCTCTAGGTCAATTTTAAACCCAACCACACTTAAAATCTAAACATAGTTTTTCTTTCAATATTTTGGTGGGCTTCTCTATTGTGATACTGAGCCACAGACTATTGTTTCCAATTTAGTTTTCGATTTGTACAGTTAGTTATGTTATCTAAATTAGTGATTTACTTCATTTTCAGAATTTTGAGCCTGCATTAATGAAAGCCTCAAAAAGTTAGGTGGTTCTTGCACAGCGAGGGAGGCTGAGGAGCGGGTTTATTTGCCAAATCTTAAGGTTTGAAAGTGGACCTGGAGGAATCTGAAAAAAGAAAATCATTCAACTGAGACAAAGATTACTGGTAGCTTGCAGTGATTTTAATTTACCACGTGGATATACTGTTTAGCAATTTGTTTTTTTAGTAGTTGCTTTAACGAGACCACTGCTATAAATGGAGAACAGTATGACTTTAGGTGAAGCCACAAAAGAGAGCCTTTCATAAAAATCTAGTTTCATAATTCTTCATCAAATACTGTATTTATGTACCATCTATTGTAGTGGTGTTAACACTGGGGTGAATTTCTTGGCTGTTATATTCAGTTGTACTCTTCCACTTTTCCTCCCTGTCTCGAAATTTCTATCAGAAACCTTGAGGTACAATTATCCACCTGCTGTGTTATAAAATCCTACAGTAAACAAAATTCCAGTAAGCTACCAAAAAGGCTCTCCTGAACTGTTGTAAAAGAAATCACCGTGCTACAAAAATACTTACAAGTTAATTATTAATTTCAGACACCAAGAAAACCTGAACTTAAAATAAATGTCAAAATTACGTATAAATCATATATAAGGGATATTACCTCTATCCCTTCCTGCTACAGTCTGTTTATCATTTCCTGCATTGATATATTTCACTTTGATCTTGACACTACTTGTTGATTTAGCACATCTTCCCAAATTTAATGCCTTGCCCCTCCTATTTCATTTATAAGCCCCTCTACTTCCCCAATTATGGGGTTAGCAAGAAAATCGAACCCAACATGATTCAGGTTGAAAAGTCCATTATTACAGATCCCACTTTCTCCAAAACTGAAACCTATGCCCACAGACAGGAATCCACTTCTCCCACAAGAGCCATTCATCTGTCTAATCTGATTTGCCCTATTCAAATTTGCATGTGGCACAGATAATGGTGCAGAGATTATGACTTTTGAGATTTTGCAGGTTCTTTTGATGCATAGCTCCTCAAACCGACAAAAGTAGAACTCCCTTCTTTCCCCTGCCTATGTTATTGGTTCCCAGAAGAAGGAAAATAGAGGTTAAAGTGGACTGGGAGGACATGGAAGATTTTTGCATTTAGTGACAATGGTAACTGTCTTTATGCTAACAATGGATGAACTGACCCTCAAGTCCCAGAAAGGCATTGTAAATGTCAGATTGTAACAGCTGTGTTTCAAAATATCATTTCATTCCACGGTGAAGGAGAATTGGAAATAATTAATCAGCGTCCTTGCCTGGATTCTCTTTGTCTTGTGACAGCATCACAATTTATTGGGATAGTCTGCTGAAAATTATGCCTCATTATTCCCAGAGTCACCATAAAAGTGAAAATTTAATCAATCAACCAAATTTCACAATTCTACCTAACTGTCTAATTCGGATTAAAAGGATATAACACCAGTTTTTATTCCCCATTAGCATGAAAACAACTATTCATTGTGATCAAACTGTTTCTAACAATGGTGAAAAGTAGAAAATTGAATGTCTAATCTATAATTTTGTAACTGAAACTCTACCCCTTAAAATTCTCATACACAAACGAACATAAACAGAAGACGAGACACAAATTTTATTCGTGGAAAAGGACGAAAAGATTCAAAGAAGCATAGCTCTTGCACCAATCTGGATCACTGTTGATGAGTTGTTTTCTTTCGGCCCTTTCAATTCCTTCTGATTCTTTGACACCAAGGTTCTGGATGTGCTGATTCACAGTCTTTCTTTCACTGGTTGAGGATTCACCCTTTCAGTGCCTCTGAAGGGGATTTGTCCCCTTTCAATAGGGGATTTGCAATAAAAGCAGCTCACAGAATGATGAGGCAGGGTTGCCAACTACTAGGGATTTTCTTTTACTTTTCCACGTAGAGGGGATAGAGTGAGAGATGGATGCTTTCTTTTCACAGACTGGATGTTTCCACGGACTTGTTCTCACACAACTTCTTGTGCTAATTGAAAAGTCAATCAAAAGCTTGTCACTGGGCAAAATGCCTGGAACACGCAGAAACAATGCTATTTTGTCTGGAATTATCCCGCTCACTGTTCCAATCAGGCAACATTGTGTATATATAACTGAGTTAAAGTAACTTGTCTCTAAAACTCTAAACATCTTGCACTGCTTTTCTAATTTAAAGCAGTATCTTTTTTTTCAGTCTTTTAATCGATAGTCCAGAAACACAAGTAGTCTTTGCAATGAACTTTGAGATTCGAAGGCTACAGAGAAAGCTTTTGTAATATAACATTACAGGCTTTCTTAAAAACAAAAACCACTGAACGGATGGATTAGTCTGCCAGGATTGGGTTGGGGGGTCAGCAGTGAGCGAGAACATCTGGAGGGCAAAGGTCTCTATGATTAATTGTACGAGAATACGTGTGGAAGCTCACACTGTGTCGGAAAGGACCATATTTGTGGGGAGTTGGAACAACACCAGCAGTTTTTGCCTAGTCTTCAGTTGTACTTTGCTGTGAAGGACAGATGTAAGTGTTAGAAGCTTACCAGCTGAGCAAGATGATCCAAAGCAAACCACTAGAAATCATGTTGGTCTGATTCTGGAAGAGTTGACTATCTACCTAACCAACAGTATTACATATATTGGATAATGGATTATTTTTAAGTTGTGTTAAGTATTGTGCGATTTAAAGAAATGCTTACCTATAAAAATAGGGTTTAATTAGTAGTGCCTTTAGTCTTTTCTACAGTATATATCTTAAAACATTAAGTCATTGTCATCCATTCACCTATTAATTTCTAAAAAGAAATTTTAATTCTCAATTGACAGCCTCTCTGGGCGTATTAAATGTATTCTCTTCTGCACTGAAAATGAAGTAAATCACTAATTTAGATAACATAACTAACTGTACAAATCGAAAACTAAATTGGAAACAATAGTCTGTGGCTCAGTATCACAATAGAGAGGCCCACCAAAACATTGAAAGAAAAACTGTGTTTAGATTTTAAGTGTGGTTGGGTTTAAAATTGACCGAGAGAATGACCAGCTTTTCTATGTCAGTCTAAATAATAAATCTTCAGGTTACATTTCTTTTGTTCTTTTTCCATTTACTTATTTTTGCTATTCTGGCTATTTTCTACAAACTTGCTAATTCCTGCTCATTCTATTCTGCAAGTCCAAAGTCTGAAAACTCCATTATAAATGTGGAACGTAGTAAAAAAAATTATCAGACTTCATCACAAATGACAAAAGGTAAAGTTTGGAAAAGTTGGCTTTTTGTATTATCCTAAGATTAGTTGTGAGTTAGCTAATGTTGATGTTGCTACTGATGTAGGCTGCTCGTTCAGAAGTTTGAGCCTGCATTAATGAAAGCCTCAAAAAGTTAGGTGGTTCTTGCACAGCGAGGGAGGCTGAGGAGCGGGTTTATTTGCCAAATCTTATGGTTTGGAAGTGGACCTGGAGGAATCTGAAAAAAGAAAATCATTCAACTGAGACAAAGATTACTGGTAGCTTGCAGTGATTTTAATTTACCACGTGGATATACTGTTTAGCAATTTGTTTTTTTAGTAGTTGCTTTAACGAGACCACTGCTATAAATGGAGAACAGTATGACTTTAGGTGAAGCCACAAAAGACAGCCTTTCATAAAAATCTAGTTTCATAATTCCTCATCAAATACTGTATTTATGTACCGTCTATTGTAGTGGTGTTAACACTGGGGTGAGTTTCTTGGCTGTTATATTCAGTTGTACTCTTCCACTTTTCCTCTCTGTAAAGAGACTCCCTAAAATTCTCCCCTACAAAAAAGTAAACCACTGGGTCTAAGCAGCAGTTAATGCTGGCTAAACAAAAGAAAGCACGGTTAATGATGGCAAGACTCTCAATTTTGGCTGTTGACTCCAAATGCTGATTTGCCATAATAATGTACAGTAAACGGGCAATATGATATGGTAAGAAACAAACCAGAAAGACCGTTAATACTGTAAAAATCATTCTGGAGGCTTTGTGCTTATGGTCAAGTCTCCTGTATGACTGAAGATGTTTGATTATGCATAGATAGCAACAGATAATGACTAGAAATGGAAAAAGAAACCCAACTATCAGAGCACCAGAAGCATAGAGTGATGGCTTCTCTCTATATAATTGCAGACACACAGTAGTGTTCTCTTGTGCCTGTACAGACTGAGTGGTCACTGCGAGCTGAAAAGTTCCAAGTATAGCAGTAACCCACACTGTTGCACTGATTATTTTTGCATAGCGGACTTTTCGAAAGCTGAGCGATCGAACTGGGTGCACTATTGCCAGGTAACGATCAATACTGATGCAGGTAAGAAAATAGACACTGCTGTACAAGTCAAGGTGAAAAAGAAAGCCGGTGATTCTGCAGGCTGTCTCTCCAAATGGCCAGTTACTTTCGAGTATATGATATGTAATACGTAAAGGCAAAGTCAGAATGAGGCAGAGATCAGCTATTGCAAGATTTAACATATAAATACTGGTTATAGTCTTTGTTTTCATGCGACTGCAGAAGACCCATACAGAGATGCTATTCTCAATTAGTCCAGCTGTGAATACAGTGCTGTAGATTACAATGTAAATCATCCTTTCAATTGCAGCAGCAGTTAGGTTGAACTTGGGCTCCGTTACCAACTGTAGCTTTGTGGTTGCTATAGTTGTGTTTGTCCAGTGCAGAGAATCGTAAGCCATAATTCTTTCTGATGGTCGTAGACTGCAAATAGGAACAAAATGATTTTTAGACCTGAAAATTCTAAAATGTTCATTTTCATTTTTTGAACTTAAAATCCTTTCCATTAATAATTTGCATTAAATGCTGCAAGAAATGGAAAAAGAGAATAGATCAACAAAATCCAGGATTAAAAATTGTATATTATGCAAAAATTATATTCGTTACATATTTTCATAGCTTTGGAAATATATAATTACAAACTTTTTTAGGTGATTAATATATTTTGTAACTTCTAACATAATTAACATAATTTATTTGCAAAAATAATTGTAAACTTCAACCTAGAGGATTATCACAGCTTCAGGATTTACTTACGGCTTTGCTGAGGTGAAGTGTGCAGCTGTATGAAGAGCAATCATTCCAGTTGTGCACAACTCCTGCCCATTTTTGTGAAAATAACTCTGTCCTTTTATACAGCAGTGCTAAGATACATAGCAGCTGTGAGTTGTTGCGCTGACAATGTATTCTGTGTATTATAATAAGGAAGCTGTTTCAAGACCACTTTTAAAAAGTTGCTTTACAACAACAGTGTTGATTATGCAGGAAGCACTTCCTCTGGGAACACCATTCCAAGTAATCCATTCACTGTCTTCATGTAAGAAAATAGAATCTCCGTCAAAAGCCACAAATAGAAGCTTCCTTTTCCTAACTGTAGACTATATCCTTTCACAATTTGACAGCATGTATTTTACAATATGTTTCCTTTCCTTTCTTTTTCCACAGTACCAAACAATGCTTCAGGATAAGTTAGTATTTCTGTTGACTGAAATAGCTATTTAGTTTCAAATACTGTATTTTCATCAAGATGAACATTTGGAACTTTTCAATAAAGACTATAAGTAAAACTGTATTCAAATTTCTACTCAACCAATTCCTGATTGTTAATCCTTCGAGACTTTTTCTGCCAAGCAATGAGACAGGGTGAAGGTTTTAAAAATATTAAAATGAAATATAGAATGCACAAACTCAACCTTAATTTAAATATTTCCCAAAACTAGAATTTGACAGGAAAAGAAATGTGCTAAAACTAAGATTATTTGTCAGATGATACATACATGTTTGATGTAATTTTCTCTGAGCTCATTAAGATTTATGCCCTAATCTGTACCTTAGACCACCAGATGTTTGAGGTGTTAATACAGGAGGTTAATTTAATACGATTTTAGTCCAGTTTATGGGGCCTTTCAGTAGGTATAAAGATCAGAGATTTGAGCCAGGATGCTGGTACACATAATTCATTTTCAGTAAAACCGGATCACCACAACTTGGTTCAGAGATAGTAGGAACTGCAGATGCTGGAGAATCTGAGATAACAAGGTGTAGAGCTGGATGAACACAGCAGGCCAAGCAGCAGGAAAGCTGACGTTTCGGGCCTAGACCCTTTTTAGTTCTTTGATTCACATGCTTCCCTGTTAGGAAGCATCCTCTTCAAGAAAGCCTCAGAACAGTTACTCATTAGTATTCCCTTGAATTAATTTTTTTGGTTTGATATTTTAAAGTGGTTAATTTATTTTAAGCTATTCCTTATACGTACGTGTGCTAATGTGGATCTGCTGTACATTGTAATTTAGTCTTTATTTGGAGTAATGCTATTGCATGTTACATGGGCTTGATATAAACGTAAAAGTAGATTTTATTGTGCTTCCCGTAGCAGCTCATGCATATTGGGTTAGTTACACAAACTCTTAAATGTGATTTGATTTATTTATTGCCACATGTATTTTGTTATAAAATGCAATGAAAACATTGTATAGTGTCGTCACTTTCCAGAGCCATCTTAAAATGCATAAAAATAAACCAAAACATCGAATATAAAGGCAGAAAAATAAAGAAATAGAGAAATAATTGTGAGATGTGCCAATTCAAATTCCAGGAGTTAATTGTTTTGCTCATTTGAAACTACTCTCTGATCATCCTACAAGTCTTTATTGATTTAGTACTGTTTGATTTAAATTAAATTAATTTAATTCAAATTTATGATCGTGCATTCAAATCACAAGTTTTCATTGCAAATAATTTTCTCTTCTCTAAAGCTGTGGGCTCAGTGCTACAGTAAGTATCTGATGAAGTTTTCACTTGAGATGAAAGTATCTTGGATACCTGGAGAAAATACCTTAGTCCATTTCACTTACCCATATCAGGTTCCATCATGCAGTCTTGGTGTAACTCCTTAATCACAGTCTTAGTAGAGAACAACTAACCTAGTACCAACTGAAGGTTGAGTGGGATTCTCTCAGATCTGTATGCTTCAGCCTCTCACTAATCACTATGTCAGAGGACCAGAGTATAAATTATTTCAAGACTTAAATTCTTCCTGCTTCAAACAAGATGTTACAACATCACCAGGTTATTCTATTTTAAAAATATACATTTGCTTTTTAAGAAGGAGAGAAAATATTTCATGTGAAGAGTAATCCTCTATAATTTTTCTATTTTCAGGCACCTCTGCCGTCCGTGTCACAACCGTGAAAAAGCAAGAGGTCTGGGAAAATATATCTGTCAGAAATGTCATGCCATCATTGATGAACAGCCTCTTATATTCAAGAATGATCCTTACCATCCTGATCATTTCAACTGTGCCAACTGTGGGTGAGGAAATTTTAATTATTAATTTATGTTCTGTCAGTATATTTCCATGACAGAAGTTCTAAACCATTGGTACTTGTCTTGGAGAAATTATCATTCATGATTACAGCAATGTTATGTGCAGAAGGAAGCCATTTGGCCCATTATTGCCTCAACCAGTGCTTTGAGCATTTTACCCCCAAAGTGCAACTTCCTGATTTTTTTACCCCCATAACCCTACGTACTGTGATTAAGTGCAAGTATTTTCAGTTGATTTTGGTAGATGTGCAGTTTGTATTCATTGATTCAGCAATAAATATTTGTGTATCTGCATCCATCTTGATCTGTTTCTCTTTTATACGTCTTTCTTTATTTGCATTTTTCTGCTTGCTTTTTCCTCAAATGTTATTTTCTTTATCCTTCATTTACCCTTTTTTTTGTTTCTGCTTCTCTGTGTATAAATTCTGTGTATTTTTCTCTCTTTCCATCTTTCTTTCTTTCTTTCTTTCTCTTGTTCACTATCTTCACTCTGTCAAATCCCATTGCTGCACTTCAGTTCTGGTATATTGTTTAAATAGCCATTCTGATGCGAACTTGCCCTTTTGAGCATTGATAGACTATTCAGTCACAGAATGAGCATCACAGTCGATAAACTTTGATCATCTGCTCCCTAAAGCTGTCCTTTGATAATCAGGAAATTGTGAATAATAACCACTCAACTTGCCTGGCTGCTGGGGCTATCTGTGGCATTCTTACCCAGAACTCACTTGCTTCTTTTAATTAAGTATGTATCTCATAAACTTTCCAAAGCTATGAGTTAATTGAATGCAGCTGATATAGTTTAATGTTTTGCCGATTCCATATTAACAAAACATGGATCAACAATAGTAAAACAAAGCAGGATTTCTGAATTGCTGCATTACTAATGTTTTTCATTAAAACTACATATGAGTCAATGTTGTATTTTGGGAAACTTAAATGTGGCATTCATTGATACAGTATGACCCTTGTAAGATATGTGTTAGTAAACCACCACCACCACCAGTCGCTGGACTCGTGTGGGGAAACAAGTAAAACCAGAACTGATCAAAAATCAGTTTCTTTCAATGCACAGATAGAATGGTTGTCTTCTGAGCAATGTATCAAAATCTGTATTATACAATGTTTTATCTTGTGAAGGGAAATCAACACTTTTTTGTGCAAAATCCAATGGCTTTCAATTTTAGAACTTACCTGGTGTTATGAAATATTTCAATGCCGTTTAAGGGAGACCAAAAGGAAGAAATTTTACCCAGCATTTCACTTCTTGCTATTTCTTTACTTCTAAGTTTACAAGCACGTACTTGCAACAAAGTATAAAAACATCTCATTTTATACTTAAAGTATTCGAGAAGATTTGTAGTTCGGGTTGTGGATGAGGTTGCAGACATGCTCACTGAGCCGGTGTGTTTGATTGCAAACGTTTTGTCACCCTGCTAGGTAATGTCGTCTGTGTGCCTCCGGTGAAGCATCGGTGTTCGGGCCCACTTGTTATTTATATGCCTTGGTTTGCTGGGGTGGGTGGTATTTCTTCTTGTTTTGTTTCTCAGTGGTTTGTACACCGGGTCTAATTCAATGTGTTTGTTGATGGAGTTCTGGTTGGAATACCACGCCTCCAGGAATTCCCTGGTGTGCTTCTGTCTGGCTTGTGCAATTATGGGTGTCTTGTCCCAGTCGAATTCGTGTCCCTCGTTGTTCGTGTGTAGTGAGACAAGTGAGAATTGGTCGTGTCTCTTGGTGACCAGTTGGTGGTATTGTCAATTCTCTTCTGGTTTAGCCTATGTAGTGTTTCTCACAGCCCTTGCATGGTATCTTGTATATTACCCCAGCTTTGCTGGTTTTGGGTATGGGATCCTTTACGCTCTTCAGTAGCTGTTGTAGGGTGGTTGGCGGTTTGTGGGCTACTTTGATACCTAGGGTCTGAGTAGTCTCGTGGTCATCTCTGAAATGTCCTTGATGTATGGTAGGATGATTAGTGAGTCTGGTCGTATTGTGTCTTCCTGTCGTGGTCTATCTCAGAGATAATGGCGGATTGTGCTTTGTGGGTTCCATTTCTTTTGAAGACTCCGTATAGGTGCTCCTGTTCTGCTTTGCGTAGTTCATGGTTGCTGCAATGTGTTGTGGCTCGTTTAGATAGTGTCTTGATGCAGCTCCCTTTTGTGAGGGTTGGGGTGGTTGGTAGTGTGTGTGGTCTTTCTATATACATTAGTCTGGAATTCCCCGTTGTTTTTGTGTTCTACCATTATGTCCAGGAAGGATAGTCGGTTGTTGTTCTCTTCTTCTTCTTTTGTCAATTTTATCCCGGTAAAGATGATGTTTGTGTCGGTGAGTTTCTTCTAGTTTTGAGCATTTAATAATCACAAAGGTATCAGCTGCATATCGGACCCAGAGTTTGGGTTGCACAGTGGGGAGCGCTGTCCATTCTAATCTTTGCATTACTGCTTCTACAATCATTCCTGATATTGGGGATCCCATTGAACTTCCGCTAATTTGTTTGTAAATGCTGTCATTGAAGGTGAAGTGGGTTGTGAGGCACAGGTCTAGTAGTTTCATGGTGGTGTCCTTATTGATGTTGTTGGTGTCCTTACATGGAATTGAGTAATCAGGCAACCCAGGACACCAACAACATCAATAAGGACACCACCATGAAACTACTAGACCTGTGCCTCACAACCCACTTCACCTTCAATGACAGCATTTACAAACAAATTAGCGGAAGTTCAATGGGATCCCCAATATCAGGAATGATTGTAGAAGCAGTAATGCAAAGATTAGAATGACAGCATTTACAAACAAATCAACGGAACACCAAGCCCACCGACACATAAACAACATCTTACCAGGATAAAATTGATGAAAGAAGACGAAACAACTTCTATTTAATACTTGAAGCAGAAGATCTGCAATCACTCTGCGTTGGTTTTCTGTCCTGAGGTGGTA